CTTTCACTCCCATCCCCAAAGATGTGGGGGGGGGGGTGGATCTTCGATTTTGCCGAAGTGCCATCTGCTATGATCTTGCATGAACGAGAACGTGTAGCGACCACCAAAATGATACTATGGTCCACTACAGTATAGTACTTTGAGGCATACGCAATGAGATATCGAATAGAGACGGGTATCTTTTGACAAATAGCTTCTCGGAATATAACTGATGTGTTGGTATAAAAATATAAATTTACTACTTTAGTATAACAAGATGTGTCTAGTACGCAACGGAATAAATATATTATAAATAAAGAATTAATTGCTGAATTTAAAAAGTAACTCTTATGTTTCAAATTAAAAATACTAAAACTTATTTAAGAATAAAGTAATATAAAATAGATACATTATTTTCTAATTGTTACAGTATAAATAAATAAATTAAGAAAAATTAACGATTGATTCTTAAATTGTGAAGTCATTATATTCTATTAAATTGAATTATTTGAATACTTAATTATTAAATTTTTAGGTATACAATAATAGTAATATTATTAGTATTACAACAATACTAACACTTCTTATTTTAGGATTGTATTCAGTTTTAATTAGTTTTTATTTTTGTTCTTATATTGACAATAGTTTTTTAAATTAAAATTTGTGTAGGATCTAAAATCTAAACTGCTATTTATAAATTAATATTTATTTGTTCAATTATTTATTTCTGTTTTTAATATAATTTATACTAGAAAAAAATACCTACTTTATCGTCGACGATAAAAGCATAAACTGTGTTGATAACAGATGGATATTGAAATTTCTATTTTCTATTTTCTATCAATTAGATAATAATAATAATTATCATCAAATAGTAAAACATGCGTTTTATTTATTTTTGTACAAAAAAATTCACATAGATGTCTGTCAATATTAGAGAATCTCAATAGAGAAATCAGTATCTGGACATCTATGACTTCCTATTGATTTAGCTATCTTATATTAGGTCAAATATAAACCCTTATATAACGTTTGCATTTCAACATAAATTTTTAAAAATAAATATATTTTTAATTAACTAAAAATATTTAAAATTGTAAATAGAATTTAAATATCTAAGATTAATAATAGAAATAAAAAAGAGAAATATGTAACATCACAGCCTATATAATCTTGAAAGATGATTACTTAAATATCGTTTGTATACTTAAATATCGTTTGTTATACTTTTATTGTTCAAAGTTAAAGATTTTATTGTCAAAAAGATCATGCTTAGTTTTTTCATTTTCTAAATCACCAATATCAATACTTCTATTTTTCTTATTTTACGAAATTTTTGTTTTATTAGTAAGCTAGAAAAATCTTGAACTTTAGTTAGTTTAGTTAATTAAAGAAATAAAATTAAGTTAACATAATAATTTTTTATAAAATAAAAAAGAATATTATATTAGAAGTTAAATCTGTTTTAATATTTTTAAACACATTGTCTATATGTTTGATGTAATATGTAGATTTAAAAGTCTCCATTTTGTCGATTCTTAAGCTCATTACTCAAGATACGACGAAGGAAGGGGGCTATTAAAAATGAATACAATTAAAACGAGAGTCAAGTATATTGTATCGTACTTTAATGGTAGTCTCTTATCCAAGAGTACGCCGCAATGGCTCGCGAGGATCTTCTGCTCAGAATTTCCCTCGCAATTTATGTTACTATAAAATGGTTAGAAGCCAGAGATTTTCGCATTACATACCCTCGCGAGATTTCTCGCGGCTTTCGAATTATATCTTGAAAGATTATTAATTGCGCTGTTACTTTCGTCGATGAGAAAAAGCCAATCCGATGCAACATGTGCATCCTAAAATTGGATTGGCTGCAGATGTATGCGGAAGAAAGCTCGAAATACAAAACATTAACAATTTTACGCATCTTAACTATATATAGTATAACAATACCATATATACTACTAATAATACTAATATTTAATTGTAATAAATGCAGTTAAGTATTGAACATATCTAATATTATATTTATTGTGATACCGTTAAACAAATGTGTAACGATAATAAAAATTTTTATTTATTACATTTGTCGAAATTAGGAAGAATTATTTAAACTTCATATAGAATGCCTCAATATATTAATCGTAAATATTAAACTTTAATTTCGCGGCTCTCTCCCACCTCTCGTCTACTTAATTAAAGATCGCTCTTTTTGTTTCTATCTATACTTAATAATATTAGTCGATAATATTTCAATCATACCAACACTCTGCTATAACGCGCCTTCTTAACAAAAATAAATAATGGTGAAAAAAGATATATCGATAAATGTTTTCTGATATTCATTATTACTGATCAATTAATTTACAAACATGCTCATGGCAGATATTAATTATGTTACGTATAATCAATCATTTGATTTAGTCATCATCATCCCATTTCCCAGTGTAATAGAAATCATCCTCATCATGTTAAATTGGGTATAACATTTTTTTATTACTTTCTGATGAGAACAAATTTTGTTTCATGTTTGATTCATCATATTTTTATTTTGTTAATATTTAAAAATTTGCTGACCACTTATTTTTAGATTTTTAAAGAAATAAAAAGATTCATTATTAAAAATATTTATAATTTTGATAACAATTTTGTTGTAACTCTTTTTACATGTAAAAAATTATTATTGTTTCCATAAAGAATTTATTTGCTCGATTTTATGATAAATCATAACGACTTTAGGTCAAGAAGAGCGCAAATCTACTCATTCAAGAAGTTAGAAGAAACTTGAGGTTAAGACTGACTATAAGTCATAACTCTATTCATTAAATCTATTATTGGTAAAACATCTCGTTGTAAAAAGTAACAATATTATAATAAGAATTTAAAAATTATAAAAAGTTACAAAATTATAAAAGTCTATAAACAAAAATGCCGCGCTTTTAATTTCTTCTAACGACGAATTACTTATTTGCCTCTATGTGAGAAACATGAGATTTTCAATACTCATGCTTCTGAACGAGAAAAAGCTGGATTCATCTCGCCCAAGATTTATAATACCAGTCTCTCTGAAAGTTCACTTTCAAGTTAACATAATAAAGACAAAAATTTTGATTGAAATAAGAGCGAAATTATATAAAGAATTATTAATATTCCATTTACAGTTAATAATGAAATGTTCGAATGTTAAATTTGAATTTTAATTAAATCATTAAAAGTTTTATGCGAGAAAAAATGCATGAAAATTCTAATTAATCTCTAATTAATCTCTTTTTCATTCATTATTATACGTTTCTTAAATGAGATTTTATAGATATTCCTGTTATGACTATTTTAGAAATCAGTTTTATTTATTTACTTTCTGAAAATTTAAAAAATTATAAAATACTTCAATACAGTATACAGAGTGTTCCGCGAGACTTCTGCCACTGCTCGTAAAAAAATACATAGGACCGAGATGAAAGTTCCATTTTGTGATATTTGCAATAATAATCGGATATTAATTATTAAAAATCACAGTGCAACGCGCGGTAAGATACTCCCGCTCGGCGTGTTTGCATTTGCCGGTAGACCGGGATGATTTTTAATAATTAATATCTCGATTATTATTATTGCGAATATCACAAAATAGTATAGAACTTTTATGTTCATCTCGGTCCCATCTATTTTTTTACGAGCGGTGGCAGAAGTCTCGCGAAACATCCTGTATAATTATATTAAGATTAAATTATTAGAATACGTTGATTCAAAAAACTAATATGTAACGTTATAAATAAAAAAACTAATAACAACTTAATGTAGAGAAAAAGTTTTGCGAGCAAAATGTATCGGATTCTTACAGATTAAAGATCTGAAGGTAAATATTTTATTCCAGTTTGGTATAAAATTTTATCGAAGCGTCCAAATATATAACGCAATGGTTTAATCAACATACACGTAGAAGTTTTCTTAACAATTCGATTATTTATCTGGCAAGCTTAGCAATAAATTATTTGGCACTTGACCCTCTTTGAAATCCCTGTTAGATATATCGCTAAGCTTTTTTTAATTCTTTGTGATAGATACAATGCTTTCTTACGTTCATACCTTCTTAATTTATGCCACCTAGTTCGAAATGCGCAACGTAATTCAGGCCTAATTTCGTTATCGTTACGTCGCTTACACAATTACACGTTGCGAGAAGTCACCTTAACCTATTGGCTGTTAATTCTAGAAAGACATTTCATTTATATAACAAATAAAAACTTCGCTACGAGACATTGTTTTATATCGCAATGGATATTCCATTTTTATGTACCATTTTTATGTTTTATGTCTTACAGATTGAGGAAACTTACTCGCCATATTATTATTACTCGCGTCTCCTTAACTCAACGTAGAGTTCTTAATAGGAGAGGGTTACTTTAGAAAACTTAATCGAACATATTGTATATATTCAATTGCATATATATATAAAAGCTATACATAACATCGTTCGAAATTATTTTCACCACCAGGAACGTTTCTTTTCACTTAGCTGCGCGTACTTACTGATTAACAATTTATTTCACTAAACTTAAATATAAATAATAATATAACATAAAATAATAAATATCATATATGTGTTTGTATATATATATGTACATACACACACATACACATATGTGTATATATACTTCATATACATCGCGCAACAATCCAATTAGACGATACCGATACGTTTAGCTGATAGATGACCGAACAAGTGCGAATACGTTGCACTAATTATTAATTAAGATATCCTATCGTAAAATTTTGGCGCTATTTGGCATTATTTAAATTCGTCCAAATTTTTGAGCCATGCTTTATCATCGTTTCTGAACGCAATTTTCAAACTTTTGACGATACAAACATGCGAGTCGTGGCGCCACTATGAAAAAACAAATAATTTGCAAAAATTTTTTAATTTATATTATTATTATATAAATTTATCAGTATTCATATTGTATCATCGTGAAACAAACGTATTTGGAGAGATGTGTCTAGATAAAAATTTATATCACCTGTAAAGCCTGATGCTGCATTTATTCAATGAACATGGAGCAAATAATGGTCCAATCATACAAGATGTCGGGTAAATTACTTGGCAAGGAAAAGTATACATTTGCATAAATTCTATGGAGACTTACAAACTACAAAACAAACGACTCCGTTTTCCTGTTATCCGATATTCGATCGCTATGTAATATCGCACTGGTTGCTTTCAGTCTCGCTAATTTTTGTTTTTAACGTGAATGTTATGCATTTGCCGGAAGATATTGACATGCCGACGACGTCATCATCTTCTTCTGGAACATATGGCAGAGCGGACTAAGGGGTCGATTTCGAAATTTTCGTCTGCTGGTCGCCTGCTACTGTATGGAACACACAGTGAGATGATGCGATAGAGCGTGGTCCAATAGAATAGGAGTGCCTGCAGCCAATTCTGTACCGGCATCCGCGCAATCGTCTTCACAATCGAAGTAGTTGCTCTGCGCAAAAAAGGACAGTGAATATTAATTAATTGCAATAAGACAATAAAACACTTAAACCCAATTCGAAACAATATAAACTTATAAAAAAACATAATAAAAAACAGCATCATTAATAACATATTTATTATTAAGAAATTAATATATTTTCTATTTTTACAAATAATATTATTTTTAAAAAAATTTATTTTTTTCGAAGCATGATTAAAATTATATGCTAATGCTAATATGTAAAAATGTATATTGTTTTTTTTTTTTAATATATTAATCGTTTAAGTGTATTAACTTGGAAATATTAATATTTTTTTAGTTCTTGAACATTTCTTTATTTAATATTAACAAAAATTTTATAACTAATAGTTATAAAATTCATAACATTTACATCGGCCTTGCAACCTTGATAGAATCGAATCAGAATTTTCCGACCGTAACTAACGAACCCAGAAGTGCGAGCCAAAATGGAACAAAATGGAGTAAAAAGAGTTTGTTCCGTAATCGATGTAGTAACAGAATTGTCCAATTAGTATATAAACTAGCCAATATCAACTCTGTGCGAATACAATTGTTGACGTCATTTTTGTATGCAATTGCATCTGCATACGCGCGATTCATAAAAAGAATAGACTGTGAATATTAAATAAATCTAACATGTATGTCGGTTAATAATTCAAATAAAATTGTAAAAATCACAATATTGCCAAAATGTAGCACTTACAAACATAATGCGATAAATCGTATATACAAAATTCTTAATATAGAAAATTCTTTAAATATAGAGTAGTTACATTTTACTAAATATATTTCATTAAATATATATCATTCACTAAATATATTTCATTAAATTTATCTTACAATTTTGTTAAATATAAAAAATTACGAAATTGTGCCAATATAATTTCAAAATCTCCAGTCATCTAAATAATGCAATCTGATTGAAAATTAAAAATTTGATTCTTTTGAGATTACAAAATCGTTAACAAATTCTATTCAAAATTAAATCATTTTTTAAATAGTCTAAATACCAGATATCGATATCAAATGAAGTATTACGATGTGATTATAAAAAAGCGTAGCATCATAAATCATCATTAAATATCATTAAATCGTAAGTAATTACCTGGCAGTCGATGCACCGACAGCTATCGGTCAGTGAGCAAGTGAGGCCGAGGATCTCAACAGCTTCCTTGTAAAGCTCGGCGCTCGACTTCCGCCGTCTTGGCGGCGAGGTGGGTGCGCTGACGGTGCCGGTGCCTGATGGTCTCCTGCTGTTCTTCAGCCTCGACGAGAACTCTCGAGACAAGGAGGACGTCGACGTTGATCCCCTCGGTCGATTGTCGCTCGTAAGCAATGCTCGACCTGCCGGAGATGCGAACAGCTGCAGCATATCCATGTCCTACAATCATACATTCGCTAATTAGTGGATGCTATACTTACGTGTTACGATATCATCGTGCAACATGTC